ATGGTCCATTGAACTGTGAAGCGTTGCTTCCACCGATGGCACGTCCAGCGATTACTACACCAGGCATACCACTTGATGAATTTGATGAATAACGAACCACTCTGTTATTAGAAAAGTCACTCACATACAAGTTCTCGTTATTGTCGACAAATATGCTATAGCAAGTACCAATTGTTGATGTATTATCAGGGCCTCCATATTGACCTGTGATTCCTGCAATGGTGACTGGATTTGTTCTATTTTTGAAAAATCTTATCACATGAGAATTGGTTATGTCTAAGACGTAGATATATTTTTGTGTGACAAAAACATCATTAGGCGTAACAAATAGAGGATTGGAGTCTGATCCATTTTGAATAATAGCTATAGCCGTAGTTGAATTAGGTTCGATGACAACAATTCGACTGTTAGACAAATCAGCAATGTACAGAGTATTGTCATTTGTTATTCTCATTCCATTGTTGGAATTTAAAGTAGATGGAGACGATCCAGCTGTGCCATTTGCCAATCCTGCAACCGTGGTGGCATTCTGTGCCCAACGTGTAGAAGGTGACAGATTTTGTTGTGCTAAACATAGATAAACGTGTCGGTATCAACTTGTTTCTTCTTTTAAATTAAATCAACATTTTTTACTTTGCTTTTCTGTGCCTATGAGTATTGAAGCTCGGTTAAACAATGAGAATCAGCCGAATGCATGATTTTTAATAGAACTCTATGCACTTGTGTAGTAAAATATTTTTCAAAACTCTTTTCGTTCGAGCATCTGAATAATACTATGATTGATTTTTCTATTTTCCAGTAATGATTATTAGACAACTTTAAAAGTTGCAGAATTTACGGTTAGATGTTACTCGTAAGTTTATATTAATCATGCCATATACCTATAATTTCTTTGTCTTCTTTGCAATCCAAGTTATTGAACTGTTTTCTCTATCTACTGAGTACAAATAAGGCAAAACAGAGCGTGCTAAAAGACTTCTGTGTTTTATACAAAAGAAATCTTATATTTGGGCCAATAGAGATGCAACACGGATATTCTATATGATCTATTTCGATCTTATTCGAGGTTCTAGAGAGCAACTAAACCTCTTGTAAAACATAATGCTCGAAATCCTCAAGTAGATAGCAGATTCTAATGTTGAATTTTAGATTCACGCTTAAAAAGCAAATACTTCACATTGTAGGCTTTTTTTAGTTTCAACTGTGTTATTTATTAACTTCATAATTCTAAAATGGCAAATACATACTACTTTCTTCCTGACGAAAAGTGTTAAGCAGAAAACAAACTATAAAGAAGAGATCTATGTTATCATTTAAGTGATGGAATCGCTCTTTTTTGTTCGTTTTCTTGAATATAATCTCTTTTTTTTAGATAGGCAAGGCATAGATGAAAACATGTGATAAGCGAATAAAGATTACCACCAAAGGTGACTGTATAAATACTCTTACCCGTTGAATATTTCACTACTGAATAAAAAACTGATCTCTAGTGATTAATTATTTTGCGCTTGAGCATTAATGAATTTTAGGATTTCACAAACACATACAAATATTTATGTAATGGCTACTGAATGAAAAAGAAAAAATAGTTCTTACCGAGAGTGCAGTCCATAAATACCATCGTAAGCATAAAAAAGCCAATAATTGTTCTGGACGACATGCACAGGAGCATTTTATTTTGACACCACATTAATCGTGAACAAAGTCGATTAGGTGATACCGTCGTTCTTGGGAAAGAGTGATTTCTAAAAAGAAAAAAGAATTTCGCAAACACATGTGTCTACAAGATAACTTATAAGCTGTTATTCCAAAAAGAAATGGAATAATTAGTCGCATTCTTTTATGAGAATGTGTAATTTTTCACTGCTAATATAGAAAATATTCTTAGATCATTTAAAAACAACTTTACAAAAAAAAAACTTACAAATGTCATTGTTGCACGCTATAGGAGTAAAAAACGTTTTCATCACTTCTACGAATAATCTACGTTACTCTCATCATGGAAACGAATAATACAGATAAATTGCTCCATCGATGCTTCTGAGTATTCTAATCCGATCTCATATTTACCTGTGTGTTTCATATTTTGTCATTTCAGTCTACTCTTACACTTTCAATAAGAGACGGATAAAATATACCAGTGAAACTGTTCTAAGCTCCGTATACTCTTATAGGATAATTTGCTCAACATATTTTTTCCTTCAAATTGTTGGAAGTATGAGTGTAAATTGATGTAACAAGATATGAGACCTTGTAGCAAATATGATTATTCATACAATTGATGAAAGATTCTCTTTTTTTTCAATGAAGTCGCAAAGGAACATTTTGAAACTATTTCGGTAGAGATAGATTTCATGAATCTAAGTTATGGATATTTCTTTCATTAGTAGAGCAAAAATCAACTCATTTACGCAAAACTGTATAGCGAAATATTTGATTCCTGTCAGTATAGTAAATTTTATGTCATCCTATTACATTCTATTCTTCTGTTTTCTCGAACAATATTCCTTGATTCAGAAGAAAATATGCAAGAGAATGAGACTGTGAAGAGCAGCAAATATAACATAGAAATTGTTGTTCTCTTTGATATCGGAGAATATGCGTTTGATTCTCAGGATTTTTCTGACAAAGATTGTTGTTAGAAGTAATTTGGTCGTTCAAGTTATATTAGCTGCCTCACTTCAGATATGTTTTAGTTCGTTTAATGACTAGTAAAAGTAAGAATATGGAAATAGAAATTCAAGAGAGAGGAAACAAAAACCTAATATCAATCTACACTTGAACAATGAATACATTTTCTCGCTCTATCTCATTTTGAGATACTGTAAATGAGTTTGTTATTATTATTGTTAACAACAATCACATAACAAATTAAAACACTAGTATAGTTGCTTTATATATTTTACTATTACCAAAGTAATATGATAGGAAATGCGAATATCAAGTCAATGCAGAGAGACAAGAAGAAATCTTAACTTTTGTTGTTTTTTGACTGTTTTGTGTTGGTGTTTCTGATTGAAAATCTGTTAACCATGAATTTTTCAACATTTTAACTGAACAACTCTGTCTTCACCTACAATCTAGAGTATCTTATACTATTTCCAACAGAAAAAAAATGCAATGTTAATGTATTCAGTATGACGGCAAAATTTAATGAGAAACTAATATATTTCGGTTGAATGATTTGAAAAAAAACATTGAACAATTGATTATAAGTTGTTTTGTTTTGCTTCAAAAAAAGAATGATTTCTCAATTCATGACAATGTATTTTGTTGGTTGAACCTTGCATTTTTGATTATTGGACATTATATTTGTAGTAAATTGTTCATAAGAAATAGTGTCGTCCTTAGACATTATTCTCGATTGATTGAGAGAAGTGAACAAGAGTAGCATTATCTTGGCTATGCTTATATTCACAAGCCATTTCTAGTGTCACATTAGAAAAACAGAGCTACTATTCGTTGTCGGTCGCTAGTAGATATTGACGTGTAGGTAACACTTCTTACTAGTCGGAGAATGTTGTAATGTACATTGAACGCTCATATGGTGGATTCAACCAAGTGAGCTTTAATCACTGCACGAGTTCGTTGAATCAATCTATTTGGCTCTTATCAGCCGTCAACGAACGAGTACGATATTCGAAATGAAGTGATTTCAACATGCGTAGATATCATACATCCAGAGTTCTGCAATATTCGTACGTTAGTTTGTTGCTATCCTCATATTCTCAGTTATCCCAGTAAAAATATTGAAGTAATGCAAAAACAAAAAACATTCATCTCACTTTATTCTGAATTTGTTCACGGCTGTACCCATGAGTTTATAATAAGTAACTGATCGACACACATCAATGCAGCTGATAGTCCACTTATGCTTGTTTATATTTTGATCTATTGAAAGCAACGCAAATAAATGAAACAAATATGAATTGGAATCAAAATTCTAAGCATGTTGAAATAGAAGACCTGAAATTCCGTAACTATTCTAATTCAAGGGTGTGGGTGTGCATGTCAGTGAACTGAGCACATACACTCATACCCTTATAGAGCCATATGAAAAAATTTTTAATTTGGTATTGATATGATCGTTCAAATTTTTTTAGGAACAAAAATTTTGATGTATAATATGTATCACTTGATGATCTTTCATTATGAAAAGACTTTCAGTTAGCAATAAAGAGTTGTAGATGTTATAGTTTACTGTCACACACATAACGTCTCAGTGGTGATAAGATCTGAATTCATTATTAGTGGTTGGTTTTTACGGCGTTTCATTTGTCATTGTTCAAAAATAAATGTTATTCATGATCATGTGTTGCATCAAATTACTCGAAGAAAAATAATGAACAAATATTTCATAAAGTTTTTAAAAAGTATTCAGTTTCAAAATTAATCGCAGGTGAAAAGTATCTTAAGATATACAATAGTTGATAAGATGTTAAGAACGCTGAAGTAGATCACTAGACGTCCATTCTTGCATTTCTCGATCAAAAACTTGCTTGATTTCATTCATTGGAATTTGTCTTGTACTATTTTTGACAAAGAAAATATCGAATTTCAGTTCTATTTTTTGAAATAACTAAGTAATTATGATCAGCACGAAAAAGCGATCAAAATATCGAATTTGAGATTTGACTAATTGATGATTGTGTGAGAAAGTCTAAAAAAATATCGTAGTCAAACGTGTAATCTTAAACGTTTCAGCAATAATACTGGAAAGAAACTTGAGTTTTACCAATGTTTTCGATATCACAAGCTCCTATAATCGAATCTAATAATTTAACTAAAATGTTAAGTTGGCTAAATTTTGAATTAAGAAAAAAATATTAGTATGATTATTTATTTCGTATTTTATTCAGGTTTTGATAGAGTATTGAAAAGGGTAATTTAGTTAAAGTAAGCTTAATGAAAAAAAAAGATAAAGTTCCAGAATTTTTTTTATAACTTTCATAATCGTAATATTTCGATCATAGAATTATCACAGGTACTTAGATAGATGATCAAATGAGATTACATGTATTCGAAGTAATTGCGTAATTGTTCACAACTTTCAAATTTCTATCACCCGCATTGGCGAACTGAATTCCTTTGAGTTGTTTTCGATCGTATTCTAATGTCTTTTGACGAATATCGTTCAAGTCAACGTCGACATATTGTTGTTGTTTTTTGTCACTTTCAATAACAAGACCGGAAGATTCTACATCGTTATCATCATCATGAGTTTCAATGTCACAATCATCTGCAATTGTCGCAATATCGAACGAATCTGCGTTGTTCAATAATATAGCCATAAGTTTCGATCGTATATCTTCATCGTTACTCATCTTCAAAAGTGAATGTCGACCATTCCATCGAGTAACAAAACGAAAGAGGCTCGTAGGTTGTACAAGTTTTTGTATAGTAGTTTTGTTATCTTTCTTGCTGGTAGGATGATTATTAACTTCGGTATTGTCTTCTTCAAAGTCAGAGTCGTCTTCGTCGCTTGAAATCATATTGACACATTTCTCTATATGTTGAAGAAGTTTTGTAGTTGCAGATTTGCTTATACGCTGAAGACTTCTATTTCAAAGAAAATAACTTATCAAGTTCATTCAAAATAATTCAATTGTTACTTTAAATGATGTAGAAATTTAAGAAAAACAAACAAATTTTCCTACAAGAGAAAGATAAAACTCTCATATATTTCTGTTTTTTGAATTCAGAGAAGTTTTCTTTTCTATTCGATGAATATATAAGTTTTCTTTAAAATCTATTTTTTATTTCAATTTTTGTTGTGTCTTCAAATCTTAAATGCAATTGACTGAAAGTGTTTAGAAGGTTGATTGTGAATCTATATTTTGATATGGTCTCTAAACTATGCTATACTTCTAGCAAATTGTTGACTGACATTTTAGAACATATGAGATGTTCCTTGTAGTGTTAACAGATAGAAAATCGACATGAAAAATCAAGAAAATGTTCATGTTATAGCGCAGAAAAAAATAGGCATATTTATAAGTGACACAGTGGTTTGGGTTGATGAAAAATTATTTTTCTATCACATAATTACAGAGTAACTCGAGAAGTAAAATGTCAAAATTTCAGCACAATCAAGTCAGCCTTTTTCATGGTATTGGTACATCAACGTTGATGAAAGCTGGGAGTGATGTGTTCTTTAATTATTCTTTTTTTTGTAGTGCTTTTAATTTTGTTTCTCTATCTCGGTCCTGTGTAAAAGTAATTTTTGCAAAAATCAACCACGTACCCTCAAGCACTCTAATAGTTGTTGCCTAAATGAAGAAAACTGTATTCAATTACTGACCAATGCGATGCAACAATTTCCGGTCCGTATAAGTTTAAAATGGAGGGCTGATAGTATAGAATATTAGAAGAAATCTGTTGGAAAGATTGTTAAACTACATACATTTCAGTTAATCGAGTTTTATGATTAGTTATGATCACGTACATAGCAAAAGTCTCTTTGGAATTATTCGTGCTTTTCTTGCGCTAGATATCAACTCAGTGAGAGTTTTTACTTGTCATCATTCTGAGGATATTTACCTGCTCGGTAATGATTGTATTCTTGTCTGCAACGTAGGATCATCAGGATCGGCAATCATTAGTGTTAGTAGACGTCGATCATTCATAGCTAACACGAGAAATTCTTTAACGGCTATGATGAACGAGACAAAATCATAGACAAATAATTTTGCCAATTGTCGATAATCATTAATTCGATACATGAATAAAACTCGAGGTTTAACTAGTGCAAAAACATTAGTTGCAGTTTCATTCAAGCATAATTCTTGACATTCATTATCCAGTTGAATCGGTTCATAACATGTATGTGAATGAATATTGTGCAAATTAAACTCAGTTTTGCCATTGTTGTAGGCAGTAAGACAGTGACTTTTGAGACAAAATTTATCAGCTCGATCCAATGAAGTCAGCCGAAGAGAACCTTTATCATTTGATTTATCAAGATTTACTTGACATGAAATAAGACTTTTATCATTGAAATATAGTAATAATAAATTTTTTGTTCGTTCACCGGTGATAGTTTTCAATTGTGATGATGAAACATAAGATGAAACATCCATATCAATATACTCAAGACAAGCAATCCTTGCACAGGATTCCGGGCAGGATTTCGTCGGAATCCGATAAAAACTGACGAAATCCGACAGAATCCTATCGGATTTTGCACGTGTCCGATCAGATCCGACACTCGGAATCCGGCCCATGGGATTCCGACAAAAATCCGACAGGATACAGACGCAATTATTTGAATCCGACGGGATCCGACCGAGCGAGAATCACCTGGGTAGACAGTTTGTTGCATATTCCATATCGCCATCGATTGTCCATTGTCAGCAACAACAATAAGACTTTCTAATCCATTCAGAGTTAAAACCGAACTAAACATCATCGAACATTGAATCTTCAATTGAATATTGGCTGTTTGATTGAATTGAATTTGTTCGTCAGAAGTGATTTGTTGAATAATAGAATATACGATACCATTGCATGTTACAACGTAGAATATTCCACTAGGTGTTGAATGAACTCGAGCTGGAGAACGAAGATGAAAACTAAAGAGAGGTTCATTATTAAGTGATTTAGCCGAATGGATTTCAATACAATGATTATTTGTGAGTACGAGTACAAATATATTCTCTGAATGTAAATTGATAGACACAAGTGCAAACTCGCTAATAGTTATATCATCGAGAAGTAAACGAGTAGATTCAATGGATGCTGAATGTTGATATAACCAAGATGTGAGTTCACTACAATCATAAAGAATAAATGATCATTTCTTCAGTTAAATATCAAATTTTTCCTAATAACAAAAATGCAAGTTTTTTTCCGTTCAGATATCCAATTCTTCTTGTTTCGAATCTTTTTCCTTTCATTGTTGAAGAGTATCATTTGTATGCCAGACAAATTATCTCTTGTTATACAGACATTTATTAGGTATATTTTTGTTTCGATTGACAGTATATATTTTTGTTTCGATTGACA